TCTGTTAATGAGACCATATTTCCAAGAGCAAAGGCACAGAGTTTCATAAGCACGCAATGCTTGAAACCACAACATCTTATTAAAACTTATGGAGCATGTTAACAGGTAAATTATCGCTTCCAATTGTCTTCACTCAGATATGCACAGTGCTAAACTTAGATTTACTTTACCATCCATTTTTAACTTCTTTTTCTCTTTTTCCCCATTAGCTGTTCTCTGCTGTTCAGTTCAGGCCTCAATAAAATAACATAGCATTTGGGGGAAAAGATGCAGCCTAATAAACCAGCAGTGGAGCCTAAAATGGAGAAGATCTCCACAGCCACCATGTATTTGCCCTTGGTACTCAAGTAAGTTGGAACAAATGACAACCACACACTGCAAAAGACCAGCATGCTGAAGGTGATAAACTTGGCTTCATTAAAACTGTCAGGCAACTTCCTGGCTAAGAAGGCCACAGTGAAGCTGACAATGGCCAGGAAACCCATATAGCCCAGGACGCAATAAAACATACTGACTGACCCTTGATTACATTCCAGTACAATTTCTTTAGTCATGGAGTGCATGTCCAAATCTGGGAATGGGGGAAAGGTTGAGAGCCACACAGTGCAAATGGTGGTTTGAATCATGGAACAGCACAGAACAATTGAGTTGGCCAGTTGTTTCCCCATCCAGCTTCTTATCCTGGAGCCTGGTTTTGTAGCTACGAAAGCTAGAACCACAATGATTGTCTTGGCCAAAATACAAGAAACAGCCACTGAGAAGATGATGCCAAAGGCAGTTTGTTGAAGGAAACATGTCAGCCTTGAAGGTTGCCCAGTAAATAGGCAATGTACAAAGGAAGGAGAGCACGATGGAGATAAGGAGAGTGAAGGTGAGCTCTTTGTTATTGGCTTTCACTATGGGAGTTTTCTGGTGCTTAATGAAGATGCAAAGCACCAAAACTGTGATGAAGGAAAAGAAAAGAGCAATAATAGCCAGAGTAAGCCCCAAAGGCTCTTCATATGACAGGAAGGTCACAGCTTTTGGGGTGCACATATCCTGGTCACTGTTTGGATAATGATCTTCTGGACAGATGAAACAGTCATCCATGTCTGTAAAAGAAATCGTTGGTTACATTTCATGTATGTAGAGCACTATTGTCATCATTCCAATATCACAAAGTCTTAAATAAAGTTGGCAGATTGAAAAAAAAAAATTTTTTAGCCTTCTCATGTAGTTATTTTCCAGAAGCTATAGTCAGCCTTGAGCAGCAGTAGCCAACATACTGAGCAAAGAAAGCTCAGCTCTGTCCTGAAATCCAGATTTGATCATTACCTCTTTGTTCCCTGCGCATAACATACCATTTCTTGGTTTCTGAGAATTATGCATGGGCTTTATCCATATAATGTATCTGGCTGATATCCATATTGTGGACTCAGTTCTGAGGAACTCTCTTCTAGCTGAGATCAGCCAGGTGCTTGATGAATACATTCCTATTTCAGCAGACATTTTAAGGATTTCCTGTTTTTATTATTAATTGCAATTTTATTTTACCCGTGGTATGCTTTTTGTAATCTTTATGTACATTGCTTAGAAATTTGGGTGATTAAGCAGCATATATAGCTGAAATGGAAAAAATGAAAGGGCACAAAATTAAGTAGCCAATATATTTGATATGCTCTGTATATAACATCTCATACCCTTCTGGTTGGAAATCTTGCCCTCTGGACAGCGGAGACAATCATAGCAGCAAAATGGCTTCCCTTCCTTCTTTGACTTACTATAACCTGAGCGACAGTTGTCATTACACTGAGAAAGTGGCTTTGCCTGTCCATGAATGAGAGATTAGAAAAAACATTAAACATTAAAAAGACTTCCCTATACAGGGCTGCCTTCAGATGACTTGGGGGTCGGATAACTCCATATCCACCAATATTTCTCCAATGAAAATAGGGACATCCTAAAGAAAAGTGGGACATTCCAGGATCAAATCAGAAACCAGGATGGCTTCTCTAAATCAGGGACGTCCCTGGAAAATAGGAACACTTGGAGGGTCTGCAATATGCTACATTCTAGCCATGAAAAAGTCAGAGGTTTCGAAACACATACCGTATTTTTCGCTCTATAGGACGCACTTTTCCCCATCCAAAAATGAAGGGAAAATGTGTGTGCGTCCTATGGAGCGAATGCAGGCTTTCGCTGAAGCCTGGAGAGTGAGAGGGGTCGGTGCGCACCGACCCCTCTCGCTCTCCAGGCTTCAGGAAGCTATCCGCAAGCCTTGGGAGCTCGGCGGGAGTGCCCGCCGGGCTCCCAAGGCTTGTGGATAGCAGCCTGCATCCCGAAGCCTGGGGTGCGCTGAGCAACACGCCCCGGGCTTCGGGCAGATATCCGCAAGCCTTGGGAGCTCGGCAGGAGTTCCCGCCGGGCTCGCAAGGCTTGCGGATAGCAGCCTCCAAACCTGACCTGGTTTGGAGGCTGGCGGTGGGGAAAGCAGCGCTTCTCCCCACCACCAGCCCCACAAGCTTGGGGGACAGCGGGGAGGCGGAGCACCGCCTTCCCGCTCTTACCCGACCTGGTTTGGAGGCTGGTGGTTGGGAGAAGCAGTGCTCCCCCCCCCGCCAGCCCCAAAGAGCAGGTCGAAAGAAACCCAAAGCCCCTCTGGAGGCTTCGGGTGAACGCACCTTGAACGCACAGAACGCACCTTGACTTAGAGGGGGAGAACAAGACCCCCCCCTGTTCTCCCCCTCCTATGGTCCGGTGCGTCCTATGGCCCGGTGCGTCCAATAGAGCGAAAAACATGGTACACATGTATGTCCCTCCTCCACCCATACTAGCAAGAGTTATGATTACAGTTCAAGGGCACATTCCAGCCAGCAAACATACTCAGGAAGGGCGAGTGAGGGGTGTGGGAAAGTTTTAAGGGGAGGAAAGATAGGAATGCATTCCTCTGTTCCTATGCTGAACTGTGCAGCTGTGGACGAACACTGAAAGTTCAGCTAGGACTGAATGATGTACCCTGTGCTGAAACCAAATGTAACATTGTGACTGCTTCTAGTCACAGAGGAAATTTGTAGAAGGTATTCTGTTGCAGAGTGTGTCTGCATTTGAGGTTCACCACCATAAAACTTCCAGTTTGCTATAAGCTTTTTTCAAAAAATATATTTTTGAACATTGGGGAAGCTATTTGTTTATCGCCAAATGTACCTGGTTAAATCTATTGGGCCATTGGATGGCATCTTCACAAATGAATAATTTGTCCAGGGAAGCCTGTGATGCTATCTGTCCAACCGTGACTCTAAGAAAGGAGTGGTTTGGGAATGTGATCCAGTTGATAATATCAAATCCAGCAATTAAATTCCCCTTTTGGTCAAAGGAAACCTTTTCTCCAGCACTGTTGTTAAATGATAAATGATTTAGATAATGGTGAAGCTAAATTAGGAGAGAGAGAGAGAAGTAGATCAAAAGTATCTATCATAAGTAACAGAGATGCATGAGGATAATGATCCTTTACTACAGAAAGGAGGAGAACTACCAAAGTTCTGATTCTTATAAGGACTGACCTGATCTGATCTGGAGGGATCAGTGTATACAGTGGTACCTCGGGTTACATACGCTTCAGGTTACAGACTCCGCTAACCCAGAAATTGTACCTCAGGTTAAGACCTTTACTTCAGGATCAGAACAGAAATCATGCTCCGGTGATGCGGCAGCAACGGGAGGCCCCATTAGCTAAAGTGGTGCTTCAGGTTAAGAACAGTTTCAGGTTAAGAATGGACCTCCAGAACGAATTAAGTATTTAACCCGAGGTACCACTGTACTTAATGTGACGCGGGTGGCGCTGTGGGTAAAAGCCCTCAGCGCCTAGGGCTTGCCGATTGAAAGGTTGGCGGTTCGAATCCCCGTGGCGGGGTGCGCTCCCGTTGCTCGGTCCCAGCACCTGCCTACCTAGCAGTTCAAAAGCACCCCCGGGTGCAAGTAGATAAATAGGGACCACTTACTGGCAGGAAGGTAAACGGCGTTTCCGTGTGCGGCTCTGGCTTGCCAGAGCAGCGATGTCACGCTGGCCACGTGACCCGGAAGTGTCTCCGGACAGCGCTGGGCCCCCGGCCTCTTGAGTGAGATGGGCACACAACCCCAGAGTCTGGCAAGACTGGCCCGTACGGGCAGGGGTACCTTTAACTTTACCTTTACCACTGTACTTTTATCTCATTTATTGTTATTTTCATAAAATTGATATACCACTTGAATTTAAAAGAAACCCTTAAGGTGGTTTACAAAAAAACCCCAAAACAGATTACTTTGTATCAGAGGTGCACTCCAGATCCTACACATTTCTGGATTCTCATTCACTTGCATGTTCCTAAATGACGGGGTGTGAAGGCTGTCTCTATGTTGTCTTGGTTGTCATAGCCACAGGCCCATGGCTAGATAGCTTGTGGAGCTTCTGCTGCCACACCTCTTGACACCAAAGCAAGTCACCCTGGCACTGATGCGTCTTGATCACATGTCATCTCTCTCAGGGGAAATTGTGTGTGTCCAACCACTTTGAAAAAGTATGTTAAATATGTAAAAAAAAAAAACCCTGTGAGTAATATAATCAGGAACCATTGGTGTTTATGAGTACGGATGCATGAATTATCCCAAACTCATTAGGAATTGATGAGAGAGAGAAATAAGGAAGCTATGTTACTGCCACTGCTAATGGTGAAGTCCATCATCACCAACTGTTGGAGAATTTCTTCCTCTCCTGGAGAAATGTGGCTTGGAGGGGAATAGAGTAGGATGGAGAATTTCAAGAGGCCATTTTAGCTGAAACATCCTTACAGATTAATATAAAGGTAATACTAATATTACTTTTCTCTAGTTATCAGTCATGGCCAACTTAACCATCTCTAGTAATAAAATCTATGTATAGATTGTAAGTGATACGCTGAACTGAAACTTGCTGTTAAATGTCAACTATTATTAACCTACTGTTTGGATACCTAAAACTCCACTACGGTGAAGAGAAAATCTACGTATTACAGGGACTGCTGTTGCACCCATAGATATAATGAGTTTTTCTGCTTGCGGAATACCTGCCATGGCTGTTGATTAATAAGGTTCCATGTTCTTTCACTGACTTTTGCTATGTTTTTGAATTTAAATGAATACATAGCATGTAAACCTTCTGCCACTGCATGTACAGCATTGTAGATACTATAGCTGTGACCAGTCATTCTCATTTCAAAAACTGACTGAGGAAGTGTCTCCAGTTTTTCTTCCCCAGTGCAGATTTCACCAGCATCCTCTTCTAAGGTGGAACTATGGAAAGTACAGCTAAAAGCATTTTCCCAGAAGACCCTAATAAAATCGTCTTTTTTTGCTGTGGTAGGGTTTCTTGTTTGAAGAAATGTGTGGAATCCTGGAAGATCCTTTGAGTGAATTGCCAAGGATATGCTGCCATGGATAAAGTGGATGTCCCAACTTTTTTGAGCACTAAGTGCTGTAAAATCCATCTCGGCTGTCATAATCCAGATCTTTGTTTTTATGGGTATTTCCTCAAATTCTTGAAGATGCAACAGTGTTCTTAAAACAAGAATGGTGTGGATTTCACCATTTACAACCACTGCATTGGCAGTGCTTTTCATAATAACATTGATTGTGTGGATCCCCTCCAGCACCAAATCATTAATTCCAGTAGAAAATACTGCTTTTGGAAATCTTTCGACAAAATCAAAGCAGATGCCTTTCTGGGAGAAAGTGTGAAGCATGCTTGCTTTCAATCTCTCTCCACTGTCATCATTTATGAAAAGCACCCCAATCCATGTCCACTGAAAATGCAGCAGTAGCTGGACAATACCCATATACTGTTTGTCTCCATTTGGGAACATCTGGTGCAAAGAAACTCCATGGGTTTCATCATTTATCACTGGAGCAGAGCCATACGTAAGCTAAAGAAAATAACAGTGAAAGTTAGAGAGACAATAAGGATAGCTCCAAATTAAAATGTGTTGCTGCAATTCCTAAATTGTAAGGCTTGTCCTCAAAAACTGTCCAATCCAGCACTCAATGTGCATTAGGAGCCAATGAGATTCATGTAAAATGCAGCTTTTTATTTCAATCACAATTTCCAAGACTCCCGGCAAAATTATATATAACAGGCATATATATAACTCTAAGGTACATTATACCTGGAGAATCTTATAAATGCCCAGGATGGTTGCAATGTAGAGACATATATCAGAATTGGGTCCCCCAATGACTGCAACTGGACTATTCTGAATGTCACACTTGTAGTTTGGGATAAACCCGCCTGGTGTAGACAGAAGTTCCATTGAGGCAAGGTAGGTCCATCTTGCATGGAAGTTGCTGTTGTAGATGTGGAAACCCATGGTGACATTGGGTAATATCTGGGGGTTTTCATTTATCTCTTTCACAGCAAATTGCAAGGCCAGGATTTGCTGGTAGCTCTGAGTTAGTACCCTACAATGAGAAATAAATGATGCACCATAGTTTATCTCCTTCAAAATTTGGTATTTGCTACATTTCAGTCCTATCTATACACTAAAAACTTTGCTCTAAGATAGATCATTTGGACATATTCTAGGAAGTGGGGGAAAACTTTTCAGCACATAGCCTGATGGCAAATAAAAGCTTGGATCCTAACCACTCCCATCCCCCAAATATATCACTCTAAAGGATTAGGTTAAGATCCAAAGCAGGACGAGAAGTGGCATTAGGAAGAGGCTGCAGGAAGAAATGGATTTACTAATAACATTCTGCTTCTGCCAGGAGTTTTAGACTCCACTCCCAATCTGGTATCATCTTACATTAAGTGAAAACTATTATTCTAGGTAAAGAGGTGCCGGAACTCACCATGAACATGTTGTACCCACTCAATATTAGTTGTAAGATTTCTTATAAATATTCCAATGCAAAAAAATGTATAGTCTTCTTGAAAGTAAATCTCACTGAAATCAGCAGGCCTTCCTCCCATTGTAGTGTGATTTGGATTACAGCCTGAGAGCTAAACAGCCTGAGAGCTATTCATGCAGTTAGTAATGGTTTCTCACTTTGTTTGACCTTTTGGTAGTTTACCTGGTCTATTATTATTCCTATTCAGTACAATGAAGAAAGTTGCCCACTCTATAGCAGAATTCCCAACCCTGCGTGAAACAAATGCTTTGAACTAGAACACCCATAGTTCCTGTCATCGGCTGTGATGGTGGATAATGATGGAAGTTATAGGCCAAAAGGCTAGTTAGGTGGGGTAGAAGGATAGAGAAGGCTGCTCTTGAAAAAAACCTTAAATATATTATATAGGAAGAGGATTAGGAGATGGACTCTCTCCCTGAATTTGCACTGCTGAAAATCACCGTCTACATAGAAACAGGGTAGGGTAGTATGATACAAATCTATACAATGATGTAGAGACAATAAACCATTTGTAATGCACTGGAAATAAAGTTGATTGCATTGGCTTGCCTGAGAATGTACATTTTGCAAAACAACAGAACAGAACGAAAACAACACAACAATAATATGGTTCCTTACATGATATTGTCAAATGCTTCGTGAGAAGGATGTTCTTCAAATTTGATTGGATTAGGCAATATGTATATCTGAGAAATAATGCCAGCAATGATGAAATCTCCTACATGATAGCACTTGTGATGAGTAAGAATAGGGCGAGTGATGGTGTGTTTAAACCATTGGAGAATAGACATCATTTGGGTTAGCAACATAACACCAGTATCACAAATATCACCATCTTGCATGAAAACTCTGCCTTTTTAAATATCAGCTCATTGGCTTCTATGTATAGTTGCATCTGAGTGTCTTTGACTGTGGAACAACGTGACTTGAGTTTGCATTGCAGTTGAAGCCAAAAAACAACAACAACACACACAACGGAAGGTATCAGAAAACAGACATGCAACCATCTCTATTCACAGCTCTGTGTGACAAGATGGGATTTTAACAGCATCCTTAGTCTCGGTTCACAATTGTGGGAAGGGTCATTGAATTCTCTGGGGACTAGCAGAATAACTAGATGTAATCATGGCTCATTGAAATTACAAAGGGAGACAATCGCCTATGTAGCATTGCTGGATCTGTGTTGACATAGCAGCAGAAAAACATGTTTATCACAACTTGAGAGAAGTCTCCCCCAGTTCTGTTCAGTAGAACCAGCTCAGTTTGGTTCTGTGAGATATTGCAGAAGAAAAAATTATTTACACAACTGGAGAGGAGTCTCCTTTGGACATGCTCAGTGGGACCCAGCTGGTTTGTAATGAACCATAGTAAGGGAATAACAAACTTGAAGTAATGTATTCAAAAATGAATACAGTGGTGCCTCACAAGACGAAAAGAATCCGTTCCGCGAGTCTCTTCGTCTTGCGGTTTTTTTCGTCTTGCGAAGCAAGCCCCATTAGCGGCTTAGCGGATTAGCGCTATTAGCAGCTTAGCCGGCTTAGAGGGATCAGCTGTTAAGTGGCTTAGCGGCTTAGCGGATCAGCTGATAAGCGGCTTAGCGGCTTGGGGAAAAGGGGGGGAGGGAAAAAACCCTGCAGGAACTCGCAAGACATTTTCGTCTTGCGAAGCAAGCCCATAGGAAATTCGTTTTGCAAAGCACCTCCAAAACGGAAAACCCTTTCGTCTAGCGGGTTTTCCGTCTTGCGAGGCATTCGTCTTACGGGGCACCACTGTACCAACAGTAAAGAGGGAGTAGTTTGCAAGGTCTGCCTTTTCAAAAGTGGCGTGAAGTCTTGCATAAGTTATGAACTTCTGCTATCAAAACTCAGTTGTGACGGCCAATAGGACTGTAATGAAAACAGGGCCCCTGATAAACAAAAGAGAGGTATCATGCTCAAAGCCACCGTGGGTTTGTAAAAGTATGCAATCAGTGTTTTAAATATTTGGCCTAGGGAGGCCAAAGCCCCTCCTCAAAAACATACAAAGCATACCTTGAATTTTTTTCCATTACTGGCAGAGATTAATACCCAAACAATATTTGCAATACAGAAGACAATTGGCTCTGTTCTTAGTGTTGATTTATAGTTATTGTTGTTGTGAGTTATATTTGAGCGGTGCACCAATTTACTTGTATTACTGTATGATTTCAAGCCTAAGTAATAAAGATTTGAGATGTGCAAATCAGCTGGGTAATGGAATGGATAGGTTTGCTTTGTGAAATGACCACAGAAACCTTGTTCCATAGGTTTTATTTTGGTGAGAAGACATGAATGTAACTCTGCTGTGTTAAGTTGGGTTCTCTCCTAGCATCAGTGTGCTGTTTCATGGCATTTGAAAATATAAACCCACACCGTAAACAAGCTTCTGTTAAGCACAAGTCAGGCATGCCTCAATTCACTTAAAACCATGGAACAAGTTATGCTTAATAATGAACTCCCAACATTTACAATGGGATCTCCCACTCTATCTCTGTAGAGTCTAGTTTTCTCCTGGTGTTTATTGTGCTCTCTCTCTCTCTCTCTCTCTCTCTCACACACACACACACACACACACACACCAGCAAAATGAAGACACGAGACAATGAATGGGTTGAACTATGAGGCATAATATTTATTTATTTACATCTGTAACATGCTTAACTAGCTAAAGTCAATCACCCAAACTCATGATAATATCTCCTGCTACTAATGTGTTGGTGACCTCACCTGTGACTTCATGCATCAGATCGGTGACATCAGTGGTGCTGGTAGACCCACACTCAGCCAAATAAGCAGAACAGCCTTCAGATACAGTTGGTATTTGAAATGGGTAAAGTAGTATACAGTAGATTAACATCTAAAGGGGTGGGTGTGTTTAAGTTCAATACATAAAGTGCCTAAAATTAACTATGTGCACCATGTTTGCTCTCATGAACAGTGTACAGAGGGGCCCTGTCAATCCCATAAACTCTTCAGCTGTTAAACTTAACAGCCGTTGAGACTGTTAAGGCTAAAGGAGTGGGAGACTCTATTCTGCTTCACCTTGGATGAATAAGTCATTGAGACTTTGGTTTGGCTAATTCTGCATTATCCACTATGATGCTTCAGAATATGTGAACAATCTCCCTTCCAGTGGCAAATTTAGGAATGACAACAACAACAACATACCACAGCTAGGGGGGGAAAGGATGGGCAGAGTCTTGTAATCTTGAAATGCCAGATTAAGAGGAGGTGTGGCTGCATCATGCCAATTCTCTACCAAGAGATGTAACTAAAGTAACCATTACCAAATGCCCCATTATTCATAGGGGTTAGGGGACCCCCTTGCCAACATTATGGGGAACAACATAGTCGCAGATAACTTTATCTAGATGAGGATCACAGACCTTTATGTTCCTTAATGCTTTATTCTAATGAGCTGTGCCTTGCTGTTCAGATCAGGCCTCACGACTATTATGTAGCATTTGGGGGAAAAGATGCAACCTAGTAAACCAGCACTAGAGGCCAATATGGAGAAGATCTCCACAGCCACCATGTATTTTCCTTTTGTGCTCAAGTAAGTTGGAACAAAGGACAACCAAACACTGCAGAAGACCAACATGCTGAAGGTGATAAATTTGGCTTCATTAAAACTGTCGGGTAACTTCTTGGCTAGGAAAGCTACTGTGAAGCTGACGAAGGCAAGTAAACCCATAAAACCAAGAACATAGTAAAACATGGTGGCTGAGCCTTCATTACATTCCAGTATAATTTCTTTAGCCATTGAGTGCATGTCTGAATCTGGAAATGGAGGAGACGTTGCCAGCCACACAGTGCAGATAGTGGCTTGAATCATGAAGCAGCACAGAACAATGGAGATGGCCAATCCTTTCCCCACCCATTTCCTCATACTGGATCCTGGCTTTGTGGCCATGAAAGCCAGCACCACAGTGATGGTTTTGGCCAAAATACAAGAAACAGCCATGGAGAAGATTATGCCAAAAGCAGGTTGTCGAAGAAGACACATCAACTTCTCTGGCTGGCCAATGAATAGGAATACACAAAGGAAGGAGAATAGGAGAGAGATGAGGAG